CGCGGCGCGGTGTTCATGCTTGGGCGCTCCTCCGTTCCATTTGTACAGCGTCTAGTTAAGTGTGCTTCACATTTTGTACATTTTTTTGAAATGTGATTTATTTAAAAATATTAATGTTCGGAGGAAAAAAATATACTTATTTTCAAATTTCACACCAGAATTAACATTTTTTTCTTATATTTTTTTTCTCTGCGGTTGATTAAACTTGAGATAAACCCTTTTGATTAGTGGCCGCATTAAACGTTTTAGTAACTTTTATAATTCATCTACTAAAATATTTGTAACTGACTAAGTATACAGTTACATTTTATTTATTTTCAGGTATACTATATTTTAATTATCAACGTAGTAGACCACTAAGATCAACTTGGTTTAGAATTTTATTTTATTTCTCAAATTGAGTAGATCCGGCTCAATTAAAAGCTTAGCAAATTTGTACCTTTCTCAATTAGAGCACTGAAAATTAAGGATCCTACCTTAAGGAAGACAATAATGCCATACTATTATTCGTATATTTTGCTTTACGAACGTCTGAACCGAGCGGTCAACGGCGAAGCACGATACAGCGCGGCAGGGCGTCTTGTCGCGTCGTGACATAAGTACGTAGCGCTTTGCTTTATCGTTCACTGTCGGTTATTTTATCAGGTATTGGAAAGCATTAATACTCTTTTCTATATAAAAAAATCAAGGAATACGATGGAATAAACCTTTTTCTATTGCGAATAGTAGTATATGAAAGAGAAACATATCATTTGTTAAAAAATTTAATAAAGTATTATAAAATAAACATTCGTTATATGTTTTTTTTAATAGATTGATGTATAAGTCTTTCCGTGTGTTTTGAAAAAAGTACGTTCTGATATCGAATAGCAATGGTGTTATTGAATTTTGAAGAAAATTTTGGTTTTATGTGATAAATAACTATTAATGCGTTAATAACTTTTGAGCTAATTAATGTTTTAGCTTGAAAATTAGTACAGACGTTCATTATTATTTATACAACAAGCCTTCGAAGTTTGAATAAAATCGATAGGGTAATGACAATAAGCATGTCGAAAAAGCTTGGAAATATCCAGATATCGGAATTGCAGAAATAGAATAGTACAAAATTTCCTTGATTAATCCGCTGAATACTGACTTTTTCAAAATTGCAGTGAGTTTTCAAATAATTCTATCAAAATATTTTATGATCATTTGAACATTTGAGATGAAGAACGTATGTGGTTACAATATTTTTGATTCATCATTGCATGTTTCTACTGCTATTTTCTGGATGAAAATACTAATTAAAAATATATACAAATTTAACATACTTATTCGTTTTATAAAATTTTTAGTTTGATAAAAATTTTTTAAGCAAAAATAAAATTCATTTTTATAATTTAATATAATAAGTATTCATTTTGTTTCAACAGCACACAATTGAACATAATTAGACTCGATTTGGGACTGCTATATGCAAATTGTCATTTCTGACCTAGAATAAATTTTTTTTCATATAAGGTCTCATTTAAGCTTATAAAAGCAACTTTCAAATTAGTCTTCGCACTATTAGTTTAATGATAAGTATAGCTCGAGTTATCACATTTAAAATAGCCTTCCTTTGCTTAAGTGCGTAAAAAAAATAGATCCATGGGATGGTACTGTGAGGGTTTCAGACTTTTACATGTCTGCACCGTATGTGCCTATCAAAAGGCCAAGACAGAATTTTTATTTTTCAGATGGAGCGAAGAAAACAGCTCCGACGCATGAAATTCAGTTATCATATTAATATTTTGTAGATGTTTTTTACTTTTAATTGTATGTAAATAAATTAAAATAAAACTTAGTATTTTGAAATAAATACCCCAGTTAGATAACTTTTGTTTTGACTGTTTATGACGTTTTATCTTTCTATACAAAAAATCATAATTAGACTGGTCAAATTATAATCGGAGCTAGCTCCGTATTAGTATTTTATCGTCGATTATGTTATTAAAGCATGCTGTAAGAACGAAACATTCACTTTTCCAAATAACAAAGTATAAGTTTTCTACTTTATGGGTAGCAGCTCTGTTTGTTTTATCAATGATTGATTATAATTTCTAGTTTTTCATCATAGATCTTAATCGGAATAATTTTAATTTTTAAGTTCTAAACGTTCAAAAGTGCAAAATCGAACGAGTTATTCAATATTAGAAAACTTTCCACTATATTTCACATGGTAATATAGTATTCGAACAGCATTTAATATTTCAATATCAATTTACGTTAGACGTTAGATAAGAAAGCAACAAATTTATTTTGTAATAAAGTTAAGAGTTAAAAGCTCGTTAAAGCTTATCGTAAAATAATCGACTATAAGGAAGAAGAGTGCTTTGCTAGATGAATCTCGTAGATCGGACGACAAATTTGAGAAGAAAGAAAATTATTTTGGTAGCGCGCATTAGATCGCTGTCGCAAGGTAGTTTAGGATGCAGAAGCGCGCATATCCTTTGGCTGATGTTTTTTGAAAAGTCCCGCGGGGCTTTGCAGCCTCTAATACCAAGAAGAACCGTGCGCCTCTTTAAAAGGACTCTGAGAGCATAATGCGGGACAGAGAGAAAGAGACTATTCTACTTCTTGGCCGCCAGCAGAAGAAGCAGCAGCACCACCACCACCACCATCACCACCACCATCGTCGACCGATCGTTCTTTCGAACCGATCCTTAGACATCCTATATCTCCTTGCCGCTCCTTGCTCATTCTCTTTGTCTTCTTGTCTCTTTTTTGGCTGTCCCTGTCTTTTACACTCTTTCTCTGTTGCGCCCGAGCACTGCACTGTGTCTTACCCCTCGATGGCCCGTGGGTTCGTCTTTCCGTTCGCTCTCGGGTTTTATCGAAATACGTGCGGGGGAAAATGAGGAGAAAAAAATACTCCACTCTGCAGACAGTCTGCGCTTGTTCCTGCCGCCTTGGCTGTGCCTTCAATCCTCAACAATCTTAAATCTTCTTGAGATGAAATGGAGTATAATGAAATCTTGCCTTAAATTGCGGATTTTTATATAAGGATGACATTGTTGTCTATGTCTTTCTAATTTTCAATTCTTTTCTTGAAAAGAAAAAAAACACATTTTTTTTAAGAACATAAATTAGTAAGTCTGGTCTTTTATCAGATGATGTAATTTTTTGAATATTAATTTCGTGCGTTATAGATGATATCAATATTCAATATTGACGAAAGCCAAAAAAGTGATATATAAGCTGTGGTGCGGTACAGCGCAATAAAGTGTGTCGACAAATGATCTTTTCACTTCATAATCCACTGAGATATGTAACAGTAACAGAAATAAACCGTAACATCAATTAATTAATGTGTTTGAGAGCAATCGTCTGGTCCATTAGGATGGGGAGAGCAGCAAAAAAATCAAACGGAGTCTACATTCCAACAGGTGCATAATCAATAGTCGCGAAAATCCGAATTATCTCTTCAGCCCTAACAAAGCTCGCGGAGCTTTCGAGCATGCAACCCTAGTCGGGAGGGGGGGGGGGGGGGGAGAAAATCGCAGCCCCCTTTTTGAAAGGACGCGCGCGCGTAACCCCTGCACCAGAGTCGAACTCTCTCTCTTGTCGACTACGACGCATTTTTCTCTGTCGGTTATGTGCGGACAACTTACTGCGCACTTACGTCCATCGAATACACACAGGCAGTAAAAGGGAGGAAAGACAGCAGGAAAAAAAGGAGAACGCACGCATTGATCTATCCGCCTCTGCACGCCCCAATCCATATAACGACACCGCGCAGTCCCTCGCGATAATAGAGCCGTAGGTAAGTAGGCAGCGCAGGTTACGTGCATGCATAGTGTATGCAATAACGTTAGGTAGCGATAGAGAGAGAGAGAGAGAGAGTTAGCGTTCCGTAAGCTGGTGGGAGAAAATAATTTCGATCGAGTGAGTGGCCGACAATAAGTCGGTGTGTTGTTGCCGCTGCCAAATGATGGACTTAAAGGACGCGGTAGCACACGCTTGCGACCGTTGGGTATAAATAAAGGCACACACACCGAGCAGAGAGAGGAGAGGAGAGAGCAGCTGGTGGTAGGGGCGAGGTCGAGGAAGCAGCGGCAAAGTAGCAAGAGAGAGAGAGAGAGAGAGAAGCCTCCTGAGCGTGTTACGAGAGGGGAAGAAAATATTTGAGAGAGCGAGTGAGCAAGCAAGAGAGTGAGATGGCCAGATAGAGCCGGATTCCAGCCAAGAAACTCTGCCGCAACGCAACGCGCGCGCACACCAGTGTGGAAGAGAGAGAGAGAGAGAGAGAGAGAGAGAGAGAGAGAGAGAGAGCAAGGATACTTACACACCTTTACACGCTTCAGAGGACCTTTGCGCGCCCCCGAACTCTCCTTTATTTCTTACTCGTTTTCCACCTCCCTTTCTCTTCTCTCTCTCTCTCTTTATTTTCTTGCTCGTTTTGCTTCTAGCGCATCTGTCTCTGTCGGCGCTGTCTCGCTCGAACACATTCGGAAATGCCCCTCTTTCTGTCTCTCTCGCTCTTTCTCTGCTTGGTGTACGGTGCTCTCTCTGGCTCACACGTGCGCTCGCGCACACGTCACAAAGCGTTCTGTCGAGCCGTAGCGACGGTGGGGATAGGGAGCGCGTGGCGGGGAAAGGAGAGCGCTCGGGGGTGCGAGTGAGCCAGAGAGAGAGAGAGAGAGAACCCGAGAAAATAGCAGCCGACAGAGCGACGACTACGTTATGCTGCTCTGTCTCTCTCTCTCTCTCTCACTCACACAGCGTGTATACCTACACGACACGAGAGAAAGAGCGAGTCTCAACACTGTGGTGACTCGACGAAGAGGCGAAAGAACGAGCATGAAAGAGTGGGGGTAGACGAGTGAAACGCGCGCGTTTTGACGTTTCTTCCGGCCACCAGTCCGATGAAGCGCCGCACGTTCATCCGTGAGCGTGAGCGGTAGGCCGTCAATCGGCCAGCGAATCCCACTCTTCAGCAGCGCCTCCAGCGCTCCCCCCTCTCCGCTCTCTCTTCGCCGCCGCCGCCACGACTGCCTGTTCTGTACCGTATACACACGGCGCGTGCCTCGAGAGTCGAGCCTGCTGACACTACGCGCTCGGCGCTCTTACTGTGCGGACGGATCGTCAAGCGCTCTTAGACCAAGTGTTGTTAAGCCTACAGCATTAGTACGCGTGTCGCGCTACGATCTTTGTTGTTTCTTTTGGTTTATTACAATTAACTGGCTTGTTCGTACATTCAGTTTTGCTTTTTCACATTTAACTGTGTGCCCAGTTTATTGTGATTTGTTTTCATACAAGTGTCGTAACAGCGTGACAGTGGCCGTACCTTTTTAACAAGGCATATACAAGCTGCAACGCGTGTGTACTACGAATCGTAGAAATAAGACAGGATGTGATATGCTAAAGAAGAGCAGCAGTTTAATCACGCGATTTCTCCGATTTCGTGTCAGTGACAAGTGATTGTCGGTCGAAAATCCGTCTTTGTTTCTCTAAAATTTCAAAGTCAGCTTGCTGCTGACGCGAGAATGTTAGTTACCGGGACGAGGTGGCAGTAGCCCATCTCATTGTGAGTGCGACTGAGTCACAAACACACACTCGCCTACATCGAAAGAGAGAGAGAGAGAGACCGAATGACCCAGCGTTTGTTGTGTCGATGAGTTTTGGATTACGAGAGGCGGCAGCCGCAACAATAGTACAACCTATCCTGCACGGAGAAAGGGACGAGACGCACGCGTGACTGCGTGTGTCTGTGCCAGACCCACCGATTTCACCAGTAAGTAACACTCGCGCATGTTTATACTCGCGAACAGACTTTTACGTAAAGCTGCTTCCTTCGCCTATAGTCGTAGCCTACATTGTGTTTACGAAAATATACGCAGCGCGCCGAGGACAGCGAGCGCGGTGAGCGCACGCGAGCTCGTGCAGCTTTTTTCCAGTTTAAATTTCCCGCGACTTCGCGGCCGTTCTCCGCGGCTCCGTGAGATGCGTTGACCCCTCGATCAGATGTTTCACTCCGCATCGCCTACGCTCATGTGAAATTGTTTTTTTCTTACTTTTTTTTTTCTTTCCGCTGGATTATACAGAGATATACGAACACACTTGCATAGGTACACTTTGTTGATAGCTACGATTGGCGTGACGAGGAGTAACCATGAACGAAAAGCACGCCGATTGAACGATGAATAATTCATTGCGATTGATTCGTGGGATCTCGATAAATTTTTACGTTTTTCATTTATTTTTTATGATATCGTAGTGGCATCAAGTTAAACAAACTAACTGTCGTAAAAAGCGTCGAGTCCTTTGCAGTCTGTCGCATTTCAAACAAATAATATAACCTAATACCAGTGATTGCTTCTGATGGAAACAATCCGAGGAAATCGTGTACTAAGTCTTGATTATATACACAGTAGTTGAGCAAAACACACAGCTATAGCCTCGGCATCTCTACATCCTCGAAAAAAGAGAGAGAAGTCCCACGACATCTGTCTTTATCCGCGAAAAAGGTCGTGCAAGAGTTGCGCAAATAAAAATGAATTTCGCGACTAGAGATGAAAGAAGAAGAAGAAGCCTTTCTACTTTTGCGCGGTCGAAGCCTTGCACGACGCAGCATGCGCCGAAAACGAAAAATGCGCGCGGAGCGCTCCCTTTATTTCAAAATTGCCATTCGCAATTTCCGCGAACTAGCGAAGCAAATGAAAGCCCCCGGACAAGAGAGAAGAATCAATTAAAAAGAGCTTTTTCCTTTTTTTTTTTCCTGCTCAGCCAGAGATTCAAAGTCCTTGCCTACTCCGCGTTCAATGACGAATCCTCGCTCGCGTACGAATGTGTGCTTACTCTCAATTCTTGAGTAATATTTGTGCGCGTGTTGGTCGGCGCGTGCCGAAATTGCGCACCGATACACCGCCAAAAGTAGTCGATTGCGACAGAGCCACGGCATTAAAGCTAAGCTGGCTTTTGCACACTTGTCCTCTCCAGACCGTGCGCGCGCGCGCGTGCGTGCGTGTACGAGTGTGAGAGCGGCTGAGAGTACAGTGAGACTCGAAAATATATCAGCTCTGCAACGCGAAAATCGCTGCTTCGGTAATGGACTTTGAATCGGGGCTTATGCAACGGTGTGTAGCAGCGAGGAGAGGCCTCTGGCACGTGCGCTCGCGCGAGTGTAACTCTTTGGGTACACTCGAACGAAAAGAAGACAGGAGCGCAACAATAACGATCAACAAACGTTACGACTGTAGCGATGATGATGCTGCTGCCGCTCGTGGCGCCCATTATGCTCTCGTCGCCAGTCGCGGCTCATTGTTTTGCGCAGGACACGATTGTTTTGTTGACTCTTTGGGCTTTACGTGATGTTTGGCGTCTTGGATTTTCTTTACTTCTAGCTTTCTGGTTTCGAACACTGTCGCAACAAGTCGACGAGTCGCTCCTATACGAAGTCCGCTTATCGCGTTGACGTCGTTAACGTTACATCGCAAAAAGAATTGACGACGATTGCGTAATATAGTCTGCTTCTTACGATTATGATGCATAAATGATTACAATTTTTAGCAGGCGAGTGTGCTTCGACGCGGATGCAGCCATCTCGAGAATACGTTTGGGAGAAAGCTCGCGATTAAAAACATCACGCCCGTTCAATACTAATTTTTCACCGCGGTATGTCTCATTAGCATTACGCGATTAATAACCGATTCGTTTGTATAACGAAAACACGCTCGATATATTTGATTTCCACGGCGCTTTTCTTTGCACTGGCAGCATCAGCTAATATTTTTAATTCTCCTACGTTCGCAAAGTCATCGCCTGTAAGCACACCTTTGAGTGTGAACGAGATAATAAATACAATGAATTTTAAGGTGTGTGCTCGATCACAAATAATAATTTTATTTTTTCCCTCTTTTTATCGCGTATCTTTAAATTAATTTTTTCCGAAAAATTCCACGCCGAGTTCCTTTTACGTGATCAGCGACTGTCAATGCACGAGTTAGAAGAGGATGCTATTGCATGGATAATTGACGCAATCGATTTATGGACATAGATTAGCAAATGTTATTAGATGACATCGATATATAATATTGTGAGAATGCGTAACGATGGCAATTGAATTTTAACGTTCCGTTGGTTAACCACTTAACGACCAATACTACGCGCAATGTCACATTAACTTTTGTCACTTCTCCGCGGAAAGATGTAAAGCCGCTTTGACTCGGGTTATGTCTGGTCGCTGTCATACGAGTTGTCGATGTAACGAGTCAACGGTATGAGTAAACCATTAAGATCAATGTCGTACAGGACCAATTAATTATTTCTATTTACTTTGCGGCTGAAATATTGAAAGTATGTCTTCTAAATACCATAATTTATGAAAAAAATCCTAGTGGTCTCATCGCGCGGCATCTGACGACAAAGAATTATTCAGATATGTGAATCATAACGCGGCCTCGTAACGTTTTATTTGCAAAGTACATGTACGGTCATTATTTGCACAAACGTACTGTTATAGAGATAAAACAAAAATAACAATAAGACGAAAGAACGGAGCGAACGAATTTCGCTCAATGTGCTCTTTTATCGAGTACACAGGGCGGCCAGGGGGGTTGAAACAATGTTCCCACCGCGATCAAACAGTTAATTCTTCGCGTTGAGCGCGAGGAGAGTGGCGTTTGTCGAGGACTTCTTTATTATTTTTCGTAATGAGCGTACGTACGAGCAGGCAGGATTCGCGAGCCTCAGTCTTTTGACCGATTAAATAATTTAGTGAAGTAGTGCTCGAGCCAGTGGTTGAAACAGGAAAGGAAAGAGAGTTTGGACGAAGGGAGGGAGAAGAATGTGGAAAAGGGCAGAAACGGAAGAAGAAAAAAGTGAGAGAGAGAGAGAGCGAGCGAGCGAGCGTGAGTAAGAAGCAAAGGTATATCGTATCGACGAAAGAGAGAGGGAAGGAGAGAGAACACACAGGTAGAGAGCAGCGTCGATATATTGGTACAAAAGCGTGAGAAATGCTCTCGGCAGCAGCCACTGCTCTCTCTCTCTCTGGCGCGCGCGCGCCAGAGAGAGGGAGAGCATGTGACGCTGACTGACTGCTACAGTCGTGAAGGTGTAATGGGCGAGGAGTAGGGAGAGTCATCGACGATCTCGTTGACTTGGTTTTCATAAAGGGCGATATTGTTCGTTTCGCGGCCGCCACTGTGTAGCCGTCGTCGTCCAGGATACCGTTATCGCGCTTAACGGACGATAAGATTACCGTTTTGCGTAATATTCTCTCTCTCTCGGCTCTCCTTCTCCCTCTCTCGCTGACATCATTATTGATACGTTTTACATCGGATCTCTTTTCACTCCCCAATTTGTCAATCGTCTGCGCGCGCGCGCGTGTTCCGGTTCGCGTCGAAGGAATGCAGACGTCGTTCTCGCAGCGTAGAGTCCGCGCGCGAAGGAATTATGAAGTTTTTTCAAGGCTGTCTACGCGCGTATATGCTAATAGTCGCGCGCGCACACACACACACACACACACACACACACACACACACGAACGCCGGCAACACAATGGCTTTCGCAATCGTGCGAAAAAATTTAGTACTTGTGATTCGCGCGGTTGCAAGCAAGAAACGTTCCGATATCAGAGCAGTCGATTGTCGAGCAGCGATTGGGGGGGGGGGGGGCGTCACGTTTTTCGTCACACTTGCCTTTCCTTTATTTTTCGTTCCATAGCCGCGCGTTTGCATCGTCAAATGTTTGCCGAGCATTCGCACGCTCGGCTCGTTCGAGAGGACGATCGCTGGCGTGTCCCCCTCCACTCGCCTCCGACGAAGGAAAGTTTCCCTTTGCCGCCTACGCACGCGACGGAGCTTTGGGAGGCGCGAATCGTAAATATTTGTCAGCGAACTGCGCGGTCGTCGTCGTCGGCTTTTCCCGGGCGTCCGCGCGAGGAGAGAGAAAGAGAGAAGAGCAGCGGCTGTCGGGCGCATCAATTAAATCTAATCAATCGTCGTCCGTGGCGAATCGCCGCTGACTGCTACGACAGACGGTGCTCCGCGGACGTTTATATTGTTTATTTCCTCATTAGACTCGCGCTTAAGTTGGTGCGCCTACTAATACGCGCTACGTGCCTGGAAGCTCGTTGTCTCTCTCTTTCTCTCTATGTCGCGGTCGTAGTAAGTGCGCACACTCTCGTATGTCATCGCGAGTCATACTTTAAGGAAAACATCGATTCTCGGTTGCGCAGCGCTCGCTCTTACACGTCGACAACACGCACGTATACCCACACGCGCGCGCCACACGATCTTACACTTACACCACTCTCCGGCCGACTCGGCCTCGAAACCGTTTCGACGAGCCTCGACTCGAGCTCGCTCCGCCAGAGGAAGTACGTGCGGAGACGCGGCGCACTAACACGCTCCTATTGTGCACGCCCGCCTGAGAAAAACGCTTTGATAATGCAGCCGTCGCTTCTTTTAGATCGCGAGCATCGCTCGCAAGATGAAAACCAATCGATTGCGCCGGGCTCACCGGCAAACCTCGTTGCGCACACAATCCAAGAGTTACGCAGTCGAACGATTGTCGCGGTCTCGTTCGGCGAGCATATTTCCCTTCTCGCGCGACAATTCGAAAGTTTGACGAACGGATAGGGCATAACCAAATGGCAAAGTGCGACGGTTGTCGGTGCGCGACACGGCGAAACCGGCGATTTATTTGCGCTCCGATGAAAAATTGACGGCTAGAAATATTGTCGGTCTTGCCATCGAAGCAACCTGTTGTTTTGCTCTCTCTCTCTATCCGTTT